TGATAATTAAATATTATGTTACAACTCAATAATTATCCTAATTATATTTTAGATTTTTGTATTTAAAATGATATATTTATCTTGTATATGATTATTCTTATATGCAGTTAGTTACATCAATAATAAAGTTTAATAAGTTGTACTTATACATAATTTACTTGTAATCTTGAATTTTAAATAATATGCATCAATAAACAATATTTCATGAATAAAAATAGTTTTTAACAGTTTTTGTTAACTATTTTATAATATAGTATAGATATAGATATACACACACATAGAACAAACTAAATTATATAAAGTAACAGAAGTAAAAAATAAAGAACTAACCATTGATAGCAAATATATAGAGATTATAAAAAATGATATCGAAAATGCAAAATCATCAAATCTCTTGAATCTATACTTGTTACCTTTTTTTAATTTTTAAAAAATTCGTGTTCGACTCATCGTGTACAGGAATACAAGTAAGTATTTAGCTATTTACGTTTTTTTTATGTTCATTTAACTTTTAGGTCACGTACATAATGATCACTTATCAATCAAGCTAGTACTAAAAATAACCCCACACCTTACAAAATAACACGTAAAACTGAAACCACATGGTTTAACGTGGTTACAAACCTAAATCATGACGCCATAATAGGCATGGGAGTGGGGCCCGACCCGTCGAGAAACCCGGTCCACCCATCCTGGTCGGGGATTCCCCACTCAATCGGGGATGGGGACGGAGACCGGGATCCCCGTTTGTCTCAAAACGGGGATGGGGATGGGAACGGGGATGGTACTCCCCGCCCCGCGCCGTACCCGTTATATATACATACATATTAATTAATAAATTATATATACACACACATACATGCATATACATATATATATATATTATTTATTTGAACTAAAACGGTAATTCATAATTTCCTATTTCCTAACTAGGTTTATAATCTAATATTGTTACTTTTTGGATGTTAATATTTAATATTTTAGATGTCAAATCAAAATACAATTACTCGACAAGTTTCATATATTACTCGATATGGTTTTATATTACTCAATATATTTTGGTACATGTGACTATAAGTTTTTTGGATTATATTGATTTTTTTTGGTTTTAGGTTATTAGTTCTTATATGATGTTGTAGTTTTTTGTATTAAATTAAATTCATTTTGGTTTTAAGTTTATTGAAAATGTTTGAGATTTAAACATGTATGGTCTCTCACATATTTAATTCAAAATAACTTATATAAACCGGAAAAAATATCTCCATTTCCCGTTGGGGATGAGAATGAGGATGTGATTATAAATTATAATCCCCGATGGGGATGGGGACGGGGACGGGGACAAGAACGGAAATAAAGATAAATAATCAGAAATGAGGATGGGGATTGAGGTCCCTGTCCCATTCTCATGCCTACGCCATAAGATGTCATAACGAATTATTTAAAATCATGGTTTTCGTGAATAAATATGAAGACTGGGGTTGGGCTCAGGGCATGGGCTTTGGGTTAGCCATAAATATTAGTTTTTTGCTGTCATCGGGTCGGGTTTGTATTCGGCCGGACCATAAACCGGGTTGGAATCAGGCGTACCCAACAATTTACTTCCATGCTTCTGATCAACTGTTCTACACCATCATTTATACGATTGCTGGACTTGAATTGGTCGTGAACTCTTCAAATTAGGGTTAGTGTTTTCGTAATCTGACGCTCGTCTTTGCTGTTTATTGAAATCTTGACGCATTTGATTACTATCCTGGTTTAATCGAGCCGGAAATTTTGAAGCTGTGGCCAATTGTAATAATGTAATTGTTTAAATACTTTATTGCTAACTTATGCTGCTTCGCAGAGGAAATCGGTGAAAAATGTCTGAAGTACCGTCGTTGATCACTTTATGCATAGGCGCAATTAAAAATGCAATCCTTGATGGTGAGTTTTTAGAATGAAGTTGTTTGTGGTTATGGTAGTCGTGAAGCTTTTCGTTTGGATTCAATTAGGGGTAATTAAGGTTTCATGTGTAGTTTTACTGCTAGTATCCTACTTGCTGTCTACAAATCAAATAGTGGTGGTATTTGGGAATGATTAGAAGTTAATTTTTTATTTTGGTTAAAACAATGCACTGCTTGATCAGTTGATTCTATTTGTGAAACAAATTATGGGTGTTTTTTGTTCATGTTCTAATTTTCAATTCCGTGGTTTATTTGTGTATGCAGAAAATGGGAATTTGCCTTATGTTTATAAACTTCCATCAGAACTGTTTGATCGTCTCTTGCCACACTTACCTCCGCTGGCATTGCAGAATCTACAAGACGCAATGTTCGTTCATCTGTCTTTGTTCTTTCTCTTAGTCGTTCTTTACTTCTTTATTGTTGATATGTTGTGTACATGGACATAGACATGACTAGTTGATAGTTTCTTAGGACTTGGCATCATGAGCACCATGGAAAGGTTATTGTTCATGCTTTCATGGTTAAATGGACCATTTTCCATGAATTGTCAAGTCACAAGTGATACAAATTTCCTTACATGACCACGACCTTTGTTCTTGTTCTTTTTATGGATTGACCAAGTGACATGAATTAATTGCATCAAGCTTCAGCAATTGTACTTTTCCCTTAAGTTTGGATGAACACATATCACAAGTGGAATCCTTTCTCTAATAGGAGATTGAATTGTTCTTTTGGGATACAGACTTTGAGATCAGGTTTCTATTTGGAAAAATTAACAAATCCTCCCTCCTCACTTCCCCCCATGCACGGGGCCGGGAGGCCCAATAGGGCGAAGGAGTGAGTAGTGACTGGAAAAGACAAATATTAACAAGAACTTTAATTTGACCTACAACAGATTTTCATGGGGCCTATATTTAGTAGTTTGCGCTTAATCCCACAAGTTTGGGATGAAAAATTTCTTGTTCTATATCTAATTGTTTCAGGACCTAGAGGATCTGGTAGCAACATTTCTAGGCGGTCTATGCTGATTGTTTTTATTTTTCACACTAATATTTCATGTGATGATACCAGGATGATGCACATATGCTTTTCATTCTTAAATAGAATCTTAACCGAAGGGTTCTTTTTGCTATCTTTGCAGGCCATCTGTTAGCTCTAATGATTACTGGTTTTCTGATGATTGCTTAAAACCTTCAAGAAAACGGAAAAGGTTTTATGTTGTTAGGTTTCAACTTTCAAGAAGTGCTTTGGTTGGAACTTTTAAGATCTAATTTGAACTGAAAATAGCATATGAACTGTGAAGATAACTTTGCAGATTCGAGAACTTTGATATAGCATGGAAAGCCCTATATAAATCAAGATGGTCAGTCATTCAGAAGCTCTCAGTGGATTTTTTACCAGAAGATGTTCAACAGGATGAGCCAATCACCAACTGGCAGCAGATTTACTGGGAAAAACATCTACAGAAGTATGCAACCTGTTTGAGTTCATAATCTTTGATTAGTTTATATTTATTTGTTTGATATTCAATTGTGTCATCTCTGTTTGGCATCTTAACAGTTGTCTTGATGCAGCTGCGGAGATGGTCTCAATCACTTTGTTTGATGGCTGTCTTGGTGACGTCGAAATTCCAGGTAATTTCTACTGCTTTTGTGTGCATTGGTAGTGAACAATGGAGTGTAATATATAAGGGGCATATGTGATGTTTTTGCCATGGCCTCTGCTTTTATCATTCCATGTTTCTAGGTTTGACCCATGTTCTTTCTTCCTTCATGGCAGTAAAATAAGGATAGGTCTTAAAAAGTCTATTGTTTTTCTATTTTGAGATGAGTAGACTTTCACTTTTCTTTTGTTCTGTTCCTCACCACACATAATTTCTGTTTCCGCAGATGCCTTGTTAAAATATATCAGTTATGAGGGGAATCTCAGCAGGTCAAGAAGCTATTTAAAATTAGCTTATCATTGTGAACGATTTGGTCTATACGCCAGGTAAAACCATGCATCATTTTGCAGTTTCTGGATGTGTCAGCATCTCTTATGGTATCCTTGTATATCAATGGGGGAACGACAATGAAGTTTCAGTGTCTTGGTTTTCATCATCTGTATCAGCGTATGTGTGTGCAATTTTTGCAGAGATGTTTATTAAACTTTGTCTTTGACTTTGTTCAAATGCAGATGTCTGAGACTCCAAAGTGTTCATTGTGTTGCAGAAATTGGTGTAAGTCACAGAACTACAAGTTTGGTATTTTGCTTTTCAAATTAAAATAAAATTCAATCATGCATATGCTTGTTACCCCCTGAATGGTGTAGTACCCACATAACCATAAATAAAAAAAGGAAATTTATTATATGATCGATAGAGACTTGTGATCCTTTTGTTATTTAGCAGAGAGAATATGAAGTCTATTTGCTACTCCATGATATATCATGAGAAATGCACTTTTAAGGCCATTCATAAAACATGTTTGTCTTCTAATGCCTCAGGCAAGTTATCCATATACCATGAGTAGAATTCATCCTTCTGATCTGCATAATACAAGGAGCAATTCTATAACTCTGTTAGGTTCAATAATCAGTTGAATATCTAATAAGAGCAGAACCTGTTGGTTTCATGAAGATCACTTGATAGTCACGGGTTTAAGAATTTTTCTCGAGACATGTTCCAATTAATGAATTCTTCTTCTGTCACTCTTTTGCCCACTCACTTGGTTCTGTTGAAGAGGCTGTTTTCATGTTTATGAGTGGCCTAAATAGAAAACTTCATTCATTGATTGTGATTTACCCTTGCTCAATTTCAGACTTTCTTGTGTTTTGGGACTCAACACACTACTTTATTTATGCTTTCACTTGATATTTGCTAGCTTTACTTTCTCTGGCAGCAGACACCTTTATGAATTTCATTAACGAACCATTCAATCAAGTGTGTGTGAATCTAAAGGTCATACTACTTAATAGAGATTAGAAGACGATGTATACAACAGGAGAACTCTGACATAAATTGAAGCATAAGCTAAATGATATGAACATACATAACCTCCAAAAAGGGATACTTCACGAGAGGATGTGTTGGCTGCTTCTTTTGGGATTTTGATTAGAAATCTTGGAAGTTGAAACCAAGAGGAGCATAAGTATTGGCTGTCTACCGAAGGTCAAGACATCCTCTTGTGAAGTATCCATTTTTGGAGGTTATGCAATTTCATATTTTTTAGCCTTGGCTTCCAATATGTCAGAGTTCTTCATTGTTGTATACATCGTCTTCTAATCTCTATTAAGTATTATGATCCTTAAATTCTTACACATCGGATTGAATAATCGATTAAGTGGCATGATCTTTAAATTTTTACTCACCGGATTGGATGATCGACTAATCCACTTTGTGTGGTTTTTCATCCAAACTTGGGGGGATCAAAATGAATTTTTAATTTGAGTGCAAGCTGAAAATCCTGCTCTTATGGGTCGAGTGCAACTTGAGCCAAGCTCAGGCGAACTTGGTGTACCGTGTATGTCACAGCCCTATGATACCCAACCATGGACTAAGATTAATTTTGTTTGGATGGAATATATTACTCGAGATAAAGATGAAGAAATAATTATCTGCACACATTTTGTCGTATTATTGATATTGGTTTTGTGTAACAGCATTTATTAAGGAAAAGTCGATTGGAGTTTTTGGAAGTGCACTGGATCAAATCGAAGGAGCAGGTAATTAGTATTTCTCTATATTTTTGTGCAGCTACTTTTAATGGAAAACTATATACTTTGGTGACAAGGAATCGTATATAAGATGTTGCTCATGAACATGGTAACAGATGAGAGACTACAGAGCATATGGATTTAGATGAACAAATATATACTATCAGATGATACCTTTTTCCATGTTAATGGTTCAGGAGAGATCATACGAATGAAGTATCTAGAGAAAAATCACTAAAGTAGAGCTAGGGGTTCTAAGCTTCACACCTAGATACCTAGGATCTCTTGAGCATCACACCCAAGATAACATGAGCCATCTTACCTGAGGGTCAATTTCATCACACAACAGAAAATGTGAAGGAGATTATCAATCCTTCAGTGTTGTTTTATTCTTCAATTTTTAATTTTAGAGATTACTTCTCTCTGTATAGATCCTACTGCTCGTAGAACAAGGAACTCAAAACATGTGTCTTGATCTTGTGATCCATTTTCCTCTCCCCCATTTGAGGAAAGCCAGTTTTGTATTGCTGAGATTTTAGAGAATTAGAAACAACAATCTACTTGTGGCTGTGTATGTTTGATCATTTGATGTTGCATCTTCAAGGACTTCCAAGTAACTCAAAATGGCCTATATCAACGGAAGCAGTGAAGTTGCAAAAGATCTTATTTCCATTCACTACATCATCTTTTTCTTTACTTGTTTCTTCACAACTACCTCTGCTTTATTTTGTTCTTCCTATCTTGTCCCCTTTTTGTCTTTACTTGTGTATTAATGACCTCTTCTGAACAGAATGATTAAAGAGCTTGAGGCTTTTCATCAGGCTTGTTCTTCATTCTTTCTTATTGGTTCTACTTACCACCTTCTCACAGCCTTCGGTATTGCTGGAAACAAATCTAATCTGTTCTCCTGCTATTAGAATTTTGTTCTTTGTTATGCTTATCTTCAAACGTATTTATCCACAACCTTTCTAGTAATACATTAGATGCATTAATTATCATAGTCGAGACATCACAACAACCATAATTCTACTGTCACCATTACCCCTTCATTTTGATGTGTAATTGTGATCCACATATTGTTTAGCCAGATGCAAGGATGTGCAAGCAATGTTTGTTGTTCTATCTTTCTGCAAGTATAGGGAACACGATATCCATCCACTATCATCATGAATAGCAAACTAACATGACTTCGACATCAGGCATATGTGTGTAAATTGGAGAAAAGGTTCCAAAAATTGACACAAAAGGTTTCTAAACAAACTAACTCAGCAATGAGTGTCAACCCACAACGGAAAATTTTCTCATAAGTGACAATTGACTTCAAAGCTAAGACTAACTTGTCTAAAATTCGAACATGCTTCTGTCTTCGAGGTGGTGGATGATGGATTTTGGATGAAAACAAGCAATCCCCCAGCCCTAGCTCTGTGTGCACAGCAAAAGAGAGAGGTTGTAGGAAAAATGGATGATCTATTGATCTTGGTTGCAAGCCTTCATGCCTTTTTATAGTGTCTCTTGACTTCTAATAGCTTTAAAGCTCTTATCTTCATGTCCCGTGTGCTCTGACAAAGCTCAGGTTTGGCATGGTCTACAGTCTGGAAAATCGTTTAAATTCTCGAATCTGCAAAAGTGATGTGACTCTCCACCCGTGGCCCTCCTGTGGGGAACATCCATAACAAGTGGCTGCCATAACAAAATCACACAGGCCTAAAAGAGAATTCCTGATCCTTACATCTAACACTTGTAATTTCTCTGATAAGTYCCCATAGGCTTATGTAAAACACCTAGGCTTTCTGATAAACATACGCAGACCAACGTAAACAGCTTATGCTTTTCTCATAAAGTTCCATAGGCTTGTGTGAGCTCCTGATGTCCCTCTGTCTTGTATCCTTGCGCGTACTTGGTCATGCTTTTAGAACCAAGTGTGCAGGCTTACTTTAATGGATTAGACACTTAGCAACACATGTGCATAGCCCAGCGGATATAAACGCCTTAAGTTTGTTCCATGAAAACTTGTTTTTTCCCATCTTGTCCCACCTGATTTCTGTCCCATGGCATACCAAACATGGGACTATTTTTTTTGTCTCTTCCCGTCCCACCCGGTCTGCATATCAAACGCAGCCTAAAGACCAATTTCAGGGCCTAGTCTGCATGAAGGCATGTGTACGCACACATGGTTACGTAAAGCCTCTTTTGTGATATTCTTTTAGTCTTTCAATTACTTTTCTCACAATTTTCTTATATGACCTTAGTGCTGTAATACTTCATTTTGAGCTGATTAAGACCAAAACACACCTAGATGAGGGACTCATGGCTCATCACAAATCATATTTTTAGATCTTGTCCCAGAATTGGGAGGGAAAAAGAAGACGAGGGAGGGACACTTGCTGCCTTACTCTTTGGTTTTCGGTTGTGGTCTATCCTGTAGAGGTGCTCAAATTGGATAAGAAAATTTGATTTGTAGGTTCCGTCATAAACTTAATCAGTCACTTCTGATTACGTAAATCAATAGTTCAATCAGGTAGGGTATTTCTGGATAGATTAAGGTTGTACAACACTCTAGCCGGGTAAAGTAAACCAAACAAACCCGGTGAATCCCACATGGAGTGGGGTCTGGGGAGGGTTAAGTTATATGCAGCCTTTTCTCTACCCCATGGGGTAAAGAGGTTGTTTCCGTGAAGATCCCCAGCTTGCAATTTTTCTTTTTGCTCGAATGCATTAGCCGAGTCTATGTTGATAAAACATTAAACTTTTTCAGGTTGAGGGACTCTGCAAAGTTCTGGAGCAAAACAAGGAAACTCTGGCATCGATTGAATTCATCCATTGCAAGCTTCCTGCATCTCTTGTGACTGCAATCTGCGAGTCACTGCATGTGAAGGACTTTGAAACGAACGTGATTAAAAATTTCTCAATTAAGAGATCAAGCTTTCTTGATAGCTCATATTTTCCTTTACCTCTTGGGTTGGAGTCATTATTATCAGCCGCAAGGTGTGTGTTATCCATGTTTTTGTTAGACATGTGCTTATCGACATCATATCGCATCTGCTGAATCTATATCATCTCTGATTTGTTAAAAACGCATTTTGGTAGCAGCGGTTTAACTTCATTGGTGCTCTCTGACAATCACATGTGGTGGAAAACTGCAAAAATGGTGTTTGATACCTTACTTGATACTGACTCTGGTTTACAAGTCTTGGATCTCTCAGAAAACAATGTGAGTGCTTTTATACAATTATGCGAAACCTAATGGCTTCTTTTATAAACTCTGAATTTTAGATTACATTGTTAACATTTCAGATTGCTGGTTGGCTTTCACATTTTAAATGGGGATCTCCAAGTTTAATCAATTCAGATCGACAAATTGACAAATACCTGAAATCATTACGCGTGCTCAATCTGAGGTATTGTGTTGACCTTTCCGGAGTACTTTCATTGCATGATTTTGACACATTTCAATGAAGTTACATGGTAGCTTTTGTACATGACTTCCCGCTCTTGCTTGTTGCAGAAGCAACAATTTGCAAAAAGATGATGCAGACTGCCTTAAATACGCTATGGTTTATATGCCAAACTTAGAGGTCTTAAATTTAAGTGACAATCCTCTACAGGATGACGGGATCAGGTACTTTTGCATTCCCAATAGATAGTGACTTGTGCAAACAGATCATAGATACCATGTGGGGGGTGTTTGCTACGCGGGACAAAACTTGACATGACAGAATGAAAACCTGTTGTCCTTCGTTTGGCGCAGCATTTGACTGGGACAGGACGGGAGAGAGTGGGACAAAAACGCATTTTCTTATCCCACCAAAATAAGCGGAACAAAAGTCAAGGAGATGGGACAATTAGTGAATTACTGAACTACCCATGTCAAATTACAACTGTAAAACCTTCCATAATTCTTTCATCCCCACCTCACTCTCGTCTGTCTGGTCCCATCCCTTCCGGTTCTGTCCAGTCTCGCCTGCATGCTAAACGCATCCGTAAAATCTAGTCTGACATGCGTCTTATATAATTGTAGGATCTTTGTTCCATATTTGGTTAAGAAATCTAAATGTGACATTCCCCTTGCTGAGTTGTACTTGGATAACTGTGAGCTTTCTTGTCACGGAGCAAGTCAGCTATTAAAGGTTCTTTCCGCATTAAACGTTCCTCTGAAATCTCTGTCGATTGGAGATAATCACCTTACAAGGTTGGTTCTTCGAGAAGCATCTGCTTCCTTTTAAATTGTTTCATCTTTTGATGTTTCCTTCTCTGATAAGCTTTCCCCACAGCAAATTTGGGCCGTCTCTGGGAAAATTCTTACTATCCGGTATTCAAGCCCTTAACGTTAAGGGGGTTGGATTGGGTTCATCTGGCTTTTCAGATGCACAAGAAGAAATTACCGAAGAGCTGAGTCTTGTCCGCATCAATATAAGGTTCAATTTATAACTCGGCTTTTCTAAAAATTGCTATTATAATGTTTCTATGCTTAAAAAGAACTCATTGATGAACGTTGTGTAGTGATAACTGTGGTGGAATCAGAACTGCAAACTTTTTGTCGAAGATGATTTCACAGGCTCCGAACCTTGTTTCAGTCAATGCAAGTAATAACTGGATGCCAATGGAATCACTACCAACCATATGCTCCGTCCTGAAAGCCGCAAAGGGTGAGCATCCTATTTGTCCTTCACTTCATATCTTTTTTATTTCTATAATGGGGAAGGTACCCCAGGAAATTATTATTAGTACTTCATATAGCCTATGGCATGTAGCTCAATTGGCAAAGGGGTGGGATGTCTTTGCCCAAATACAAGACAGGTCCTGTGTTCGATCCCACCCCCCCCCCAAGCCTCAGCCGCTGAGTGAGCCAAAAATGCCCCCTCACATTGTTGTCCTTGGAGGCAGATTCCTTGTGGGACCAGTTGGGGTTGCCGGTAATCAACTTTTTGCCCAAATACTTCATATCGGTATACAGTCACAGAGGGAAAGTAACATGCAAACTTGAATCATTTCTAGTTTTTCAATGTTTTATTTGTGTTGAATTCGGTTTAGTATTATGTAAAATTAGACAAAAACCTATGTAGCCAAATTGACCTCTGCTATCTGTTTAGGGAAACTTGAGCATTTGGATTTGAGGCAGAATACTTTGTGCAACAAAGGCAACATTGCTTCTCTGCTGGCTGAATTTCAAATCAATGGAAAACCGAATATCTTACTTTCATCGCCAGCTGCTTCTATTGTGCTTTATGACAACGATCCATAGCCGACAACCAAAAGAAGGCAGCAGGCACATCAAAATAACAGTGTACTGTATATAAGGTGAGTAATGAATCATTTACCATATCGTTGTATGTTGTAGCGTCCTAGCTTGTATGTCGTATTATCAATATCGATTGTATTAACTATAAAGCTATTTATAGATCTTTGATAGAAAACTACTAGTAACTTCATTCTATTTGATTTTAAGGTTATTGATCAGTCTCGTGTTTGAGTCTTCATGGAAATTGTCGCCCTATCCTTTGGGGTAGATGATAGGTTTGCGTACATCACACCCTCCAGACTCTGCTCTCGGGTGAGATATTGGGGTCGTTTACCAACGCGTACTGGTGAGAGACATTATCCTTACTTACCTTATCGTGTAACATTGTTGACCATCAAAATGGCTTTGTTGGTAAGCGTCTTAAACCCGGTAAGCGCGAGTCTTTTCCTTCATTTACCGGGTAAGACTCTCGGTTCTTGCTATGCCTCTTACCGGATAAGATTCTTGATCCTTGCCATGTCAATCAGTAAGGTAGCTGATATTGGTTACCCGGTAAGTGTTCATTGAATGGCTTGATATTGGGTTTTGGGCCGGTTTGTTAGCAGCTTAATGAGCTTAAATGGGACTCACGTCTTATTTGGTCAGCTATAGATGACTGTTTGGTAGTGGCTTAATGATATAGAAAGTGGGTTATTCACTGATTTATGCAGAGATCCAAGTTTTTTCCAAACTTGTGCTCTTAATTAAAAAAACACACTTAAAAAAAACTAAAAAATGGTTTTATTTTGGCTTTGTGGCAGGAGATTGATTTTGGTGATGTGAGAGGTTCTTCTTTTGATGTATTTAATCTTTTGAGAAATAAAAAAAGGTGTTTTAGGTTTAATGTGGTGGTTACCTTCTGAGCAGCCAGACTGTAAAGGAGATCATCCCATTTGTCACTTGCACAATAAAGAATTAAGTGTACATCCAAAACTCACAACTTCCCATTCTTTATATCTTTCTGCCATCCTTGAAGCAAAATTGATTAAAATTGAATTCCTGTTTTAGCTACAGTTTACACAAATGGCTTATTTATTTACATAAGGAAAAGATAACTAACTATGTAAGGGGTAGATTATCATTTATCAGCAAAAATCATCGTTCTCACTTACTTTATCGGGCAATATTCTCGTCTATTAAAATAGATTGTTGGTAAATTTCTTTTATCTGGTAAGATCATCGATCCTTGTTGTGCTTCTTATTAAAATTATTGGTTTTTGTCATGTCATATTTGTAAACGCTTGTACTGTAAACATATATATATTTTTTTTGGGAATTTGACTGGGAAAATTAATGATATGAACTATTTTGGGAAGACTTTATTGGTTGGTTACATCCTTTAATTATTATAAAGACAAACTAATCTCCTAAAAAGGGTGAGTTGGCTTTCTCATGAAGTTATTCTCATCCTTTATTTCAACTCTATGCAACATTTATGCATTTTCTTTTTGAAGCCTTTTTATGATTTACTTTGTGACAACATCTTATAAAATCAAGACGCTAAAATAAATAGTAGACTATATCCTCTTCATCCCAAAAATCAATCTCTATAATAAAAAATTGCATCAAAAAGTAACGCATTTTAATTTGATTCTTATTTTTGGCTAGTGTATTTTCAAAAAATTTATTTGCCCAAAATAGGAATCAAGTTAAAGTACGTTATTTTTTATGCAATTTGCTCTAAAAAAAATTTACATGATTTTAGAAATGTATAATTCTTACACTTTTATATCAACTAATAAACAATTATACTCTTAATAATAAAGCGATAAATCTTCTCTACTTCTTAATCAAGAGTAGAATGAGGAAGTAGAAATTTGCTTTTGACTAAAATAGGAAATGTAGACACTTCCTTCTTTTTGTTATGTTTGGGTCAGTTTGCAATTTGCATTCACCTTGACAATGCCAGAGGTCTTGAAAATCAGCTGGGAAAATTCCTAATGGTCGACTCGAACCGGTAATTTTTAAAGATACAAATCTTATTATCAGTTATTGTGGGATGAAGACTGTATAGTAACATCAATGATTCTATATATCTACTCTTTCTCATTATTTCCCAAAGAATGCAATCTTTTATTTTTAGTAAGACTTTTATATATATAATATATATATATATATATATATATATATGTCCATTCAAGGGAGAACTGAGTAGTTTGTGGTAACCATGAGATCCAATCTCAACCACAAATTAATAGATAAATTATGAAATTTATAATTTTGGTAATTTTTAATTAAAATTTTAATGCAAAGACATTAAAGATATTTTCTCTCCTCTCATCTCTTCTCTCTCTGTCCCCGTCTTCCGGCCTCCAGCCACCTTCCTCCGGTGATACCACAGTGTGATACTCAAGCACATATAAGATGCATTGTGATACCATTATGTTACATATCCGATCGACCATACAAACGACCTCAATGTGATACTCAATCACATATAAGATACATTGTGATACCACTGTGGTATCACCGGAGGACGGTGGCCGGAGGCTGGTAGACGGAGAGAGGAGATAGGAGATAAAATACCTAAAATGTATTCGCATTAAATTTTTAATTAAAAATTACCAAAATTATAAATTTCATAATTTATCTATTGATTTGTGATTGAGATTGGACCTCACGGTTACCACAAATTAATTAGTTCTTATTTGATTAGACTTTTATATATATATATATATATATATATATATATTTATATGAGTATGTTGATAGTAGCCACTATGAGATAATGCATCATAAGGATTGTTCTTTTTTTATTAATTATTGTTTTAATATGAATTATATATTTTATTAGGTTACGTTAATTGTAGCAACGTAACATGAAAGCGACGTGGCATCCGTCATATTTTATAATTATGGTGAGACTCCATTCTTCTTATTCAGTTGGTTTGTTACTTTCCAATCAATCATAATGCAATGCCCACGTTTCCCTTCATTTTTCACCACTATAACCTTCACTCTTTATTTTACCTTTTTTTTTATTATTTATACAAAAATATATATTCATAATTGTCACAAGTGTTCATATATGTTCAATTTGTGTTCATAATTGTCATATATGTTCACATATATGTGCAATGTGTGATCAGAATTGCCACAAATGTTCATATATGTCAATTTGTGTTCACATAATTTGATTATTTCCTTCACTTCCCCATCTCGAACTCAAACTGTCATCATAAACAATTTTACCCTTCTCAATGTTGTCGTGTTGTTTTTCAATGTTTTTATTCATAAATGCTTGAACGATAACAAATGTTTTACTAGCGGATCTCCTTCATTAATCACAAATTTATAAATATTAAAAATGGAAGATCAATATTAAAAAATAAAAAAACAATCACAAGATCAATGTTAAAAATGCTAAAATCATGAGATTTTATGAATCTTGTAACTCTTAATTAATAATATAAGAGTTACAAACTCATACACCCTTAACATTAAATTCTTAGATAGAGTAAAACTTAATACTAAGATAGACTGTGATTTGTTGAAAATGTTCATAAAGTTAACACAATAATTTGAGTTAACATTTGAACTAATGTAACACCCCTAAAATAAATAAAAAGGGGGTTAAATATTAGAAAAATGAAATGAAAGAAGAAAAGAAGCATGATTATTATTTATGATATTTTAA